CAGCCCACATCCTCCAGCAAGTCTTCCCTGGCCGCCTGCCTCAGGACCTTGCCCTCCACCGGGCAGCACCTCTGTGGGGTGCTAAGTACTTCTCCTCCATCACTGGTTCCCTTCTGCAACTGTAGCTGCCATGACTCAAAGGCCCTTGGGGGCAGCTTCCAGCTTTCTATTCCCAACCTGCTCCTTAACACCTGGAACTGAGCTCTGCACACAGTGAAGATGAGTGAAAGGAGAGCTGCCATAAACACTAAGAACATTCAACAGCACCAACTACAGCACAGGGACAGGAGTCAGCCCTTCTGCCAATCAGTGCTGCGGTGGACGCCTCCCATGACTGCCTCCAGGAGAACAGGGCTCAAGCCTGAGCGTTCAAGGCTGGCTTGTGCTTCTGCTTTTGATCTTGAATCTCTAAGAGCTGGAGTGACATGGTCAGCTAAGATAATACCCATGAAAGGCAGTGACACGGCCTACGTTATTTTCTTGACGTAAGAGTCATGAAAAGGATGGCATTCTCACGGAACTGTTAAGCAACAGAAATGATGTGATGAGAACTAACTCCATCAAAAATGCCAGTAGTGACTGAAGACACAGAATTCATATACTTACTAAGTAATTTTCAGGGCCAGGACAGGGCCACTCCCACCGTGCACTGAAATACTACCTCACACCTACAAAGGTGCTATTCCTTTTTTGTCTGAATTCAAACAAACACAATGGCTGGGCAACTCGGCCCTGGAGACGGGGAGCCCGGCGGGAGCTTGGATGCAGAGCCTAGGCCCTCTCTTGCATGCACAAGGCTGGCCCGCAGCTTGCTCTGGGATTCGAGGTGAGGTGTTAAATGCAGGCACCTGGGGGCTCGCATCCAGGAGAGAAATGACTACGGAGGGAACACCACCAACAAACCCACTGTTCCTGCAGGTAAATGAGGAGTTGAAGCCAAGCAGTCTGGAGGGGAAATGAGAGGCACCAGCACCATGGGAGACTGAGCTGGGGTAGTTAGCATTGACAACCACCGAACACCATTCACTGTGCATGCTAAAGCTAGGACTGGGGCCTAGCTGGCAGGGCTAGAGCACAGTACCCACCAGTGAGAGTCAGAACAGGGGACAGGTAATATTAGGCTGGCCCATGACACTAACCAGAACATGAGAGAATCAGGGATATGGGTAGGATCTGGGGGTGGGTAGTGGAGTATGTGGACTCTCCCTTGTGGAACTGCAACCTCTGCTGCCACAAACAAGATCTGTGGTGGGGAACAGGCTTGCTTAGGGAGCTAAGAGGATGCCGCAGCTGGGTTGGGGTTCCCACGGTTGAGTGTGACAGCTGAAATGGGGGCAGCAGGCTGGGTTGGACATGGCTGCAGTATACCTCAGCCTGGGTGTGGACTAGTCTGGGGGAGCACCAGACCACGCTAGACTCTACTACCCACTGGCTTTCATGAGAGCCAGGAAGGGTACAGAATGGGCTAGGCTAGGTCTAGGCTCCCATGAGCCACGTGAGAGCTATGCCTGGGTGTGGACCAGGTGTGGCTAGGCTGTAACACACAACAGTAAGAACCGGAATGGGTGTGGGCCAACTGGACAAGGACACTGTTCCTGCCAGGACAACAGGTGGACAAAGTCAACCTGGACCAAGACCTACCAGTGGGAGCAAGATCTGCCACTGGGAGGAGACCTTATAGAAGAAGTTGGGAAACTCCTTTGTCAGGATGCAGTCCCTACAGGTGAGTGCAAGAACCAAGGTTGGGAACAGCCCAGAGCAGAACAGGTTACAGCACCCACCGGCATACAGTGACTCAGGTTGGGTGCAGGCCAGGCTGGGGCAATTCATAAATCCACTGAGACTTCCGAGAACCAGGACAGGGTACAGGACAGGCTGGGTTGGGCCGCAACACCAGCTAGTTCACATTGGAGCTGGGTCTAAGGGTTAGCTGGGCCAGGCTAGGCTGTAATATCCACAGCATGAACTGGAAATGGGAGCAGGCTGGACCAAGCCAAGCTGTAGCACCTGCTGGTGGATGCCAAGGTGAGGTGAGCCATATCATTCTGGGGAGTGGGGAGGGGAAATGGGTACAGAGTCTGTGAGCCTCAGGGGTGGCAAGGTCTGTGAGTCCCAGGGGTATGGGGTCCAGTGGGACAGGGGTCACCTGGCCCGGGCCTTTGGGCCCACCCAGAAGAACTGGTCCTCCTCAGTGAAAAGACAGAGCAGTGGAGAGCAGGCCCTGATGCACATGAAGGAAGTGGCAGTCCACTGGGGCCTGCAGACGACATCCGGTGCCACAACAGAGGAAGGAGAACAGAACAAATCGGACAACTACCCCAGCCAGACGATGGCAGCAAAAATCTGGGAGAATGGAGACTGTAAGGTCAACCATGTCAGCCAATGGACCTTGGAGGGATTTCCTCATCCTTGAATCAGCAAGATTGACAGCATTTCAGAATTATCCAACCACCCTGGCAGAACCTTCGGAGCATGTGCCACACTGGGACCCTAGGTCGATACTGGGGGGCCGTTTCTCAGCCCTGGGCACTGGGGCAGTTGGGAAAGTGGGTATGGCTTCTCCCCTCCCCCCCCAACCCACTTTCCAATAAAAAAGAAGAAGAGAAAGAAAAATTGGAGACAATGATCACACCCACCTCCTCTTAACCCTGGGTCCTTCCCACCTGGATCAACTATGTTAACATTATCTAAAAAAAAAACAGGCCCAGTACAGTAATATGATTCTGTGATAATTTAGAGCACGGACTTAGTACCTACGCCAGTATCTTTTACACCGTGTTGTAACATCCTCTGAAATACACAGCGTAAAGAAACACTGCCCCTTGGGCCTGGCGGTGTGGCATAGCGGCTAAAGTCCTCACCTTGAACGCACCAGGATCCTATATGGTCACTGGTTCTAATCCAGGGAGCCCCGCTTCCCATCCAGCTCCCTGCCTGTGGCCTGGGAAAGCAGTCAAGGACGGCCCTAAGCCTGCACTCGTGTGGGAGACCCGGAAGAGGTTCCTGGTTCCCGGCTTCGGATCTACCGGCCGTTGCGGTCACTTGGGGAGTGAATCATAGGACTGAAGATATTCCTCTCTGTCTCTCCTCCTCTCTGCATATCTGACTTTGTAATAAAAATAAATACATCTTAAAAAAAAAAAAGAAAGAAAGAAACACTGCCCTGGAGGTGCCTGAGAAATTAAACTGAAAAGTAACCTTATTTCTCTTGCAGATGTATCCTATACTACATCTCATTCCATCTGAGGATAGTGGATTCTAAACTAACATAGTATCTTTAAAAAATTTCCCACGGCATTTATTATGCCAATCCTATCATTAAGCTAAATAATGATTCCGTACTTAATTAATAATGTCCTTCTTCAAAGCCTCAAAGAGAGGATGCATATTTAAAAACATATATTACGACTAGACATTGGAAACTGCCAGTGGGAAGCCTCTGGACTTCCAAAGGGTGGGAAGCAGAGGAGGGAAGCAGGTTGTCCCTGCTGTAGGGATAGCACTGTGACATGTGGAGTGGCCAGCACCGTGGTACGCCAGGTAAGGCGACCACCTGTGGGGCTGGCATCCTTTACAGGTGCCAGATGCCCGACTTCTAAACCAACTCCCTGCCAATGCTCCCGGGAAACACAAAGACAACGGCACACGCCCTCAGGCCCTGCGCTCACATGGGAGACCCGAAAGCAGGTCCTGGCTCCTGGCTTTGGACTAGTCCAGCTCTGGCGACTTCAGCCACATGGGGAATAAACCAACAGCTGGATGTCACTCCCTCCCTCTCTAACTCTGCCATTCAAATAAACAAATATTTTTTTAAAAAAAAATTTTTAAATGTGTACATGCACAGTTTTTAAAAGTTTGTGCAAGGTGGAATTAAAGGAGAAGTTCAGGAACAAAAAATTTTGAAACCCACAGAGGAGAAATCTTCAAAAAGGGCCAGAAGAGGTAGGCGTCTGGCCTAGACGTTAAAATGCTACATGGGACACCTGTACCCTCTATCGGAGTTCTGGGTTCAAGTGCCAGCTCCACTTCTGCTACAGCTTCCTGATGATGCACAGCATGAGACGCAGAGGTGACTGCTCAAGGAACTGAGGTGCTGCCACACGTGTAGGGGACCCAAGTGGCTTCCCCAGCTTCGAGCTGGCCAGCCTTGGCTATTGCAGGCCATTTAGGAATGAGTCAAGCATGGGAGACATGCCCGGTCCCATCTCTCCTCGTCTCTCCTCGTCTCTCCTCGTCTCTCCTCGTCTCGCCTCTCCTCTCTCCCCCTCTCTTTCCCTCCCTCTCCTCTCCTCTCCTCCCTTTCCTTCCTTCCTTCCTTCCTTCCTTCCTTCCTTCCTTCCTTCCTTCCTTCCTTCCTTCCCCTCTCTCTCTCTGTCTTTTCCTTTCAAACAAACTGAAACCTAAAACGACTGCCTTCACTGCCATAGGAAAAGCATATTAGAAGGATTTCAAAATCTTTCACAGAAAAAAAATGTCTTTGCATTTGAGAGGCGGGGTGGGGGGTGGGGTGGAGTGGACAGAAGGATTCTATCTGCCTCCAACACCCGGGATGGTTGTGAGTGACAGGTACCTATTCCTAACCCACTTCCGCTGCCACTGAGCATCAACACAAGGACGAAGCTGGCACCGAACTCAGGACACAGTCGCATCCAATCAAGGGTATCTTAGCTGCTAAAAGAAACTTGCCCTTCAATTCACTTTCCATGAACTTGATGAGTACAGATCAGGAAAGGCAACTTAGGAGTCTGTCTTTACAGACCTAAAGGTTCCACGATACCCACTTAAAGCCCCAGCAGGGCACTTAGATACACAAACACTCTCTTAACCACAGCCTCAGGGCCGACGGGAGAGAACAGAAAGGAAAAGCGGAGGGAGCTATTTCCTTGAAAAAAGCAAAGTCCATGGCAAACCAGACATAACCCCCCACCCACCACTTTCTCCCACTCTGCTCCCCCATGGGTCCTCTGCCACCAGTGCCAGCACAGAAACCCACGACTCACCACAAGTTCACTGAACATGCCATCCAGCTCCTCCCCGGGGGGCATGGGTAACGCTGGCTCCATGGGCTGGAGCGCAAAGTTGCTGTCGTTGCGCAGCCGGTAAGTGATTTCGGGGTGGTCATTATTCCGGAAACAGCAAAAGATGAACGAAATCCCCCGTCCACCTCTCTTCCTTGGGGCCATGGCCGAACTCTGTCCTGCTGCTTGAAGTAACTAAACTCTGTGGGGGAAAAAAGGAAATGACATATTTAGGAAAGGGGCCGGCAGAGAGGTGTAATGGTTCGAAGCACAGTGTTGGCATCTCACAGGGGAACTGGCGTGAGCTCCAGTTGCTCCGCTTCTAATCCAGCTCTTGACAGTGTGCTTGAGAAAGTGGAAGAAAGTGGAAGACGGCTCAAGAGCTTGGGCCACTTGCACCCACATGTGACACCTGGCTCCTGGCCCCTGACCGTGGCCAGCCTTAGCCCTTGAGGTCATCTGGGAAGTAAACCAGCAGACAGAAGATGTGTCTCACCCTTGTTCACTTTGTAAGCCTTTTCATCCATAAATCAAATGCATTTTCTATCAAAGAATGGATAAAAATCATTTCTGAGGAGTCGGAGCAATTGAGGAAATCCCCACTCCGCTGGCATCATGACTGCCTTACAGGTCTGGCACAGTTAGGCAGAGCGCCGCCTTCTCGTCACTTCTCAGCTGGCTGCTCAGACCTGCTGCTGAGCGATGGGGACAGCCCCAGCTGCCCCTGCAATCCTGTGTGCCCCAACCCTTTCCCGCTCACCTGGTTAGCTGTATTCTTTGCACAACGTCACCTTCTTTTTCTTACCATCAAGGCAAGCTCCTACTTAACCTTTAAAATTCTAGTTTCCCTTCTTTATAAATCATCGATTGGTGGAATTAACACTACATAGGGGCTTAGGCACACATACTCACTACAGACACATCACAATTAAACTTTTCATGAACATGTCCTCCTGTCAGACTTCAGTTACTCGAAAGTGCGTATGCGTCCACGTGTGTGTATGTCCATGGGTGTGTGTGCATCCACATGTGTGTATGTGTGTGTGTCCAGGGGTGTGAGTGTGTCCACATGTGTGTATGTGTGTGTGTCCAGGGGTGTGTGTGCATCCACATGTGTGTGTGTATGTGTGTCCATGGGTCTGTGTGTGCATATGTGTGTGTCCACGGGTGTCTACATGTGTGTATGTATGCATGCATGCATACATGTGTCCCACATGTGTGTGTCATGGAGTGTCTACATGTGTGCTCACATGTGTGTGTATGAGTGCATGCATGTGTCCACGGGGGGTGTGTTGTGCGGCATGAGCTCTGTGGCCCCAGCATCCTCTCCATGCCAGAATGAGAGGAAGCATACAGTGTGTGTTACTGCATTGGATAAATGAAATTCACAATGGAGCAGAGGGACTGAATACAAAAGCTCGATGAATCAGAGATTCTCAAACAAACAAAAAAGAAAAACAAAAAGAAATGAGTTCATCAGTATGAAAATGGCTAAACAAATGATGGTATACTCACACAGAATACTATCTACGCTCTAAAGGAACAGGCACCTCCGCATGCAGACACAGAGAATGTTCAAAACGGAGGGATGGTTCTGCGGCACAGTGGGTACGGGTGCCATCCGCAGCACCGGCACTCCACGAGGGACCGGTTTATGTACCAGCTGCTCCATCTCTAATCCAGCATCCTGCCAATGTGCCTGACTTGCGTCCACTAGGAAGACCCGGAAGAAGCTCCAAGCTTTGGACTGGAGTAGCTGTTGCAGAGTGAACCAGAAGATGCAAAATCTCTCTTTTTCTCCCTCGCTTTGTGTACTCTGCATTTCAAATAAACATGTTTAAATGATGCTATATGACACATGTGCAAGTGTGATTTTAAACGTTCATGGAAAGTTGATCAAAAGATGAGGATTTTGGAAATCCATGTGTAGTTTTAAATGTTTTCCATAAATTTTTAGAAGTCCTCTTATACACAACGTACCGAAGAATCACACATTTTAAAGTGTGCATGTATTATCTGTCAATACTTAAATAACACTTGTGGGTATTTTTTAATATGTACAAGAATCACTAACAGCAGCGACTTCAGAACAAAAACAGGAGTTGGAAAGCTTTCTTTTCACTTTACAGTCTACTGTAAGAGCTGTTTATTCATTTTTATTAAGAGGAAAAGAGCAGGGAGAGAGGGAAAGAAGGAGAGAGGGAGGGGAAGAGAGGAAGAGGGAGAGAGGGAGAGAGGGAGGGGAAGAGAGCGGGGAGAGGGAGAGAGAGAGAGAGGGAGGGGAAGAGAGCGGGGAGAGGGAGAGAGAGAGATTGTTCCCCCATTGGCTCCTTCTCCAAATGGCCACAAAAGCAAGGACCAGGCCAGGCTGCAGCTTGGAGCCTGGAACTTAGCTGCTTGGGCAATCATTGCTGCTCCAATCACAGCACAGGTGCATCAGAGGAAGCTGGATGGGAAGCAGCAATGAGACTCCATCCAATCGGCATTTCAAGGAGCAGCTTAACTCACTGTACTACAGTGCCCACCCCAACCACATTTTTTTTTCAATGTTACAACTGCACGCTAACGATTCATAAGCAATGCTGCCAAGTTAAAAAAAAGAAAGTAAAAAAAAAAAGTAATGTGCACAGGATTATTCAAATCTGTTTCTGTTAAACAGTTTCACAAGAAACGCTAATTTTTTACATGTAACTGCAAGATCAAATGGTTTGGAAAGCTACACAACAAACTTCAGTGACACACTGGACTGGGTAAAGTAAACTTCATACTAGTTTAAAAGTAACGTGCACATACTCACGTATGACTTCACAGATTTTTTTACTCTTTAATGAGATGGAGTTAAAAGGAAGGGGAGAGACAAGATGGGAATTGGCTATGCGAGGCTGGCAGGGAAGGAGCTGGAACAAAGCAAGAACACAGGAGCGACGGGGAGTCAAACACCACAGTGCGGCTGATGCGTCTGGATTCACCCACGAGCAAACAGAAGCGCTGTCTAGAAATACGCTTCTTCAGCTCATTTGCTTAAGGAAGCAGATGCGTCTGGCTCTCAACTGCCATGTTTTACAACCATGAGAGGTGACACTGCTGAACAGGCAACAATGACCACTACACGGCGCATACACTATAGATTGCTGATCACAAGAGACGTAACCAATGTCAGACAGGCAACGACCTTGTCTGTCCTGGCTCTAACCACACACATTTCCTACGAGGTCAGAGGAGGACTGGGAGCGAGCCAGAGCCCTCTCCCTGTCTTTGGTTGATTTCATGGCTGCTACAAAGACACAGAATCACAGCTGTGTCATCCAAGGGGGAGACTGGCAGCTATTAGAGTGATACAGAAGGAACATTTTCTTCTACAATATTTTTCTTTCCATGTTTTTATTTGGAGGTCAGGAGTCAGACCGAGAGAGATCTTGCATCCACCGGCTCCCTCTCCAGCCAGCACTACGGCAAGCTGAAGCCAGAAGCCTGGGACTCAAGCTGGGTTTTCATCATCCTTGAGCATCACCTGTTGCCTGCCAGTGTGCTTAACAGCAGAAGCAGGATTGGAAGCAGGTGCCTGGAACCTGAACCAGGCATTCTGCCACTGGATGGGATGTGGGCATTTCAAGGAGCAACAAAAGTGTGCCAAACACTCATCCCAGGAAGAATTTGCTAATGACTTCAAAGCAAGCGAAGGTGGATGACGTCCCCGGTTCTGTTGTCTTTTAGACCTGATTTGTTACCTGTTAGCAAAGCTAAAGGCAAAAGGCATCCCAACCACCTCCTATAGATGCTGAAAGTAAATAGAGGTTTGAGAGAGATTTCCAGAAACTGGTGGTTTGGGTTTCACATTCCACTCCAGCTATTAATGTCATCAAGTTATCAATCGTACAAATCTGACAAACTTATAAAATCCTTCTCTGGCTACTCACTGCAATGATAAAAGTATGCAAAGGCCATTCCACAACTGCCAAGGCCTCCACCATGCGTTCCTGCTTGCCTCTCCACCTCACCATGTCACACTTTGTATGAGTCACATTGCTTTTTTTTTTTAAAAAAAGATTTATTTTATTTTTATTGGAAAGGCGGATATACAGAGAGGAGAGACAGAGAAGAAGATTTTCCGTCCAATGATTCACTCCCCAAGAGGCCGCAACAGCTGGAGCTGAGCCAATCCGAAGCCCAGGAGCCTCTTCTGGGTCTCCGAAGCGCGTGCAGGGTCCCAAGGCTTTGGGCCATCCTCAACTGCTTTCCCAGGCCACAGGCAGGGAGCTGGATGGGAAGTGGGGCTGCCGGGATAGAACCGGCACCCATATGGGATCCCGGGCATGCAAGGCGAGGACCTTAACCACTGCGCCACCGCGCCGGGCCCGAGTCACATTACTTTTAACCACACCGGTCAGGCTAGCTCCTGTCCCAGGGCGTTTGCACCAACGCATCCATGGCTGGCATGTCCAGGTGCACATCTCCACGTGGTTCAGTGGCTAAATCCTCACCTTGAACATGCCAGGGCCCCATATGGGCGCCGGTTCATATTCCAACTGCTCCACTTTCCATTCAGCTCCCTGCTTGTACCTGGAAAAGCAGTGGAGGATGGCTCAAAACCTTGGGATCCTGCACCTATGTGGGAGACCAGAAGAAACTCCTGGCTCCTGGCTTCGGATTGGCTCAGCTCCAGCTACTGTAGCCATGTAGGGAGTAAACCAGTGGACAGAAGTCTTTTCTGTCTGTCTTTCTCTCTGTAAATCTGCCTTCCAACAATAAATTAAAAAAGAACAATTCCCACTTTTTCAGAGTCCTTTCACAACTATCTTCTCTGCAGAAGTCACCTCTGTATAGCTAATTACCCTCTACCCCTTCACACTGTGTGATATCTTGTATAAAAGTTGTCACCAGTTGAAATTCTCTGATTTTCTCATATTATAAGGGCATATACTGCTTATTGCTTTATCCCTACACAAAATAGCACATGGGACACAGATAACAACACAGTTATTGGATGAATATTGGACTCTGATAAAGTCCGATCTAAACAACGAAATCTATTCCATATATACATTTTTTTTTTAATTCATCTTAGGGGACAGGATACAAGTCTTGGCAGCCTTCAGTGTTGTCAACGAGACTCCAAGCTGTGTACTCACGCCCTCTGCCCTTATCATGGTCTGTAAACATTCTCTCCCCCGCCTGCGTTGCTTGGCCATGCGCTGCTGGTCG